AGAGAAGCTGGAGGTGCTCTCCGTAAAAGACAAGGCATCTGAGGAAAAGAAGGAAGAGGACAAAAAGAAGACTGAGAAGAACGAAAATGAGAAAAAGGAGGTGAAAGCTGAGGAGAAGAATTGAGAACCAAGAACTTGCTTTGCTGATCTTCAATTTATCAGTTATTCCTCTTTTTCTACAATAGACTCTAAATGAACTGAATTTGGACACTTGCATATTATTAGTTTTTTGTTTTGTTTTTTTAAAAATCTGTTTTGCCTCAAGATCACAAGTCCTTGATGCCACTGGGGGAAAAAAATACAAGATAGTGAATTCATGAAAAAAAAAAAAAAAGAAGTCCTCGCCCTCCCACCCCTTTCCCTCTTTGCACCATGGAATGCCACGCCTTCCATCCTTGTCATCTACAGTTCAATGTTACTTCTGACAAACTGTGAAAAGAGGCTTGTGATAGTGATAATTCCCACATTGGGGTATTTTGTTTTGTTTTGTTATTCTGAAGCAGAGTTTGTTTGTCGGGAGAGAGGATAATGTAGCCTGCTTGTTAGCAGCACAGGGTCGGTGACCAGGCATTATGGAGGTGCATTATAGGTCTAAAACCCCATGATGCATCTCAGTGGGCCGTCTTACCCTGTCCACTGTCAATGCTTCCACTGTTACAGACAACAAGTAAGGTGAAGACTTCTCAGTGGATGCCTTGTAGAAATAGTACTTTCTTGGTTCCTTCTTTGACCAGTTCTGTCGGGAACTGGCTAGAAGAGGAATCCACTGCAGGGGCATCAGATGAGGGCTGCAGATCGCAGTGTCCACTGATAGCTGACTGATAGGAGATCAGATGCACTTAGCTAAGAATTTAAGTTGTTTTTTTGTTTTTTTTTCTTTCCGTTTATTGAATATCCGAAAACCATCAAGTCCAAAGTGAACGGTTCATCAGTTTGGTGCAGCTATGCTCTGACTTAAGTTCCACAACAGGAAATCGAGTTTGTATTCTTTAGATTATAACATTCCCAGACTTTAAAGCATGTAGAGTATATGTAACAGAGTGTGCCCTATCTGATCTGTGTGCTCACCACCCTCTCCTTTTCTTTCCACTAATTGAGTTCTTAACCTTGCCTCTTAAGTGCATCTAAGTGCCAGTGCATCTGTAAATACATGTATATGGATGAAATGTTGCTTCTCATTTGCACTCAAATGATTCGAAATGTTTCCTCCAACTTCGAATAAAAGCTGTTAAAGACCACGTTTGCATTCATATAAAATCCCTTGGTTCCTAGAAAAGCACTTCAAAACTACATATTTTCACTGTTAAAACATAGCTGTCAGCCGAAAGCAATGAAGATAGCAATGTTCTGATTACCAAGAATGAATCTGATTCACTCAAAGAGTTGGAAACTTTATTTACTCTGCTCAGGTCATTGGGAAATATTTCCTCTTCACAAAAATAGGAACGCATGTACAGTTATAGTATATTCTATATTTTAATACATATTGAACTTTCTATACGAGTTTCAGAAAACATCAGCTCGTGGCTGAAAGAACAGAGTCATTACTGACTGTCAGGAATGGCCCCTGACCTGCAGTGATGTCCATCCCAGAAAAAGAACATTAGACTAATGGCAGTCGTCTTAAAGAGGAATGACATCGATAGCATTCTGATATGTGGTCAAACTGGTCTGAGAGTCATGACAGACGGGGATTTTTAGGAAACTCAGCAGCTAACGGTCTGTTCTGGTATTTCAAGATGTTCCAGTTTGCTATTCCGTTGACATTCCTACTCATCAGGTTTGACTAAAAAACTAGCCCTGTATACCGCAGCTGTACAACTATTTTTTTTAACATATCCGAAATACATGACTTCAACAGACTGTCTTGTGTTACTTTGCTGTACTGTCTTCATGGTAAGGCAGCTGGGTGAGACCTTAGAAGGGAGACCTGCTCGCTTGAAGGTAGTAACTACAGCGAGTCTCAGTAATATCCCATTTTGGCAGAAAGCAACTCTACCACAGCTACTGGCCTTTATGCTAGGACCTTTGGAGAAAATGACCTACAAATGTATCAGAAATGGGAAGAAAAAACAAAATTAAAAGTAAAAAGTAATGTTAATTTATATCAACCAAGACCACATATCACTTTGTACATCTTGCCTTTTCTGTCGCTACTTTTTAAGTTTACTCAGTCTGAGAAGTGTGACTTGCTGCTCAACACAAAACACCATTTTTAATTGTCCCGTAGTGTACAATAGTGTTTCACCCATAGTTCACTGTGTTTGAAACAGCTTCTTTTTTTTCCCCCCCGAAAGGCAACAATGGTTTATTCTTAATGCAGATGTAGCTTGACTTAATGCAACCCAATGTAACATTTTACATCCATTTAATTTCTGGCATGTTGTCATTGTCCATTTGAACATTATCAGTTATTTTTATGGTTAAATGTAATAAATGATAAAAGAAAGAAAAAAAAAAAGTTCCATTTAACTCTCTTGAGTGGCGGCTAATGCCAGAGCTGTACCAGACAGCTGCTGCAAACTGATTTGGCATTTTCACTCTCCATGTCTTTGAGAGTCTAAGAGGGTGTGTGGCCGCTTCTGAAATCTCCAGGTGTCTTCAATGCAAAGTCCAATCTTTGAATCGTGTTCAGCACATGTTGGCGGTTCAACGTGGACTGCTCACTCGTCAAGGATTGTGACTTCAATATTTCCTTACCTCAGCATCACATATCTATAATTACTATTCACCATATCTTTTTTTTTTTTCTTTTTACACTGCAAGGTAGAAGAAGCTATATTTACTTATGGATTTACCCATTAGTCATTATCTCATTTTATTTACTCAATTTATAATTTATGAACAAAAACAACAACAACAAAAAATCCACTCAAAATAAAACATCCATTCCAGGCTTAAGTATCTGTATAAAAAAGATGTATCAAACATAGCTTTTGAAAGGTTGGGTATATAAAAACAAAACAAACTGTTTAAAAAAAAAACTACAAAATGAAATGGCTGACCATTTGTCTATTTTTTTTTAAACTACATGAGATAATGACTTGTTTCTTTACACCCTTCCATTCATGTGATTATAGCACAAACTTATATACTAAACATTTTTCTTCTTTTTTTTTTTTGTTAGACAACACTTGAACAGAAAAGTTGTTTTGGTTGTGCAGGGCCAGGCTTGTTCTGACGGTCTAACGTTGGGATGAGGTATTCTGGTCTTTCAGAATGCAAATATATCAGCCCAGCGCTTGTGTCATGTTGAAATCGCCCAAGTCAGAAAAGAAACTAAAGCCTATGTCAACGTACTGCACTTTCGTGATAGGAGTAAAGGGGGTAAGCTATTTTCAAGTCCTAAAAATCTGCACTTGACTGACACAAAAAAGGAGACATTCATATTGTATGAATTCACATCAGCTAGCATCTCTGCTGGTTGCATTGTTTCCTGGGAATTGAAAAAAATTAAGTTAACTTGTTTTTCTTGTCATTAAAGGTCCCATATTGTGAATTTTTTTTATTTTTATTTTTAAATTCTGTTTTGCACAGTTTATAAACTTGGAGGTGTAAAACTAAAGCTGTGACAATATAAAGATGCTTACCGTCGTCATTCCTCAAGCCTCAGCTCAACTAGATGGCAGAAACTGGGTAACCAATAGTCTTGTAACTAAAAGCTTGCATAATCCTTCTTCCATCACTGCTGGCTGCTTCCAGGTGAGCCATTCAGAATGAGCAGCTACATCTCAGTCCACCAGGTTTATTTACTTTATATGGCTCACTTCTGCTCACTCAAAATATCTCAGAAACAAGCAAAACGCATCAACTGTTTTTCTGTCGGCTGCAAAAGTGAACAACAGTCTTCATGCACTCCCAGCATCTGAGGAACTGAAAGGTTACTCTTACTTTTGACAACAGGAAAATCCTTAGTGTTGGCATGTTGTGCAGCTAATGTGGGTAATGTTACCTTTAGCTTTGATGATACGCCCACAGATTAGATAGATAGATAGATAGATAGATACTTTATTCATCTCCAAGATAGCTCTGTGGAAAGCACGAGGGACATTCAGAGGTAGCGGTGAAAACTTTAACACCAATTAGAAACCAATAAACAAGGACTGGGTGGGTTACTGTGTTTTTATGTCGCCTTTTGTGCTTCAGTGCAACCTAAACTCAGCCGTGTTTACATCCGTTTCTCTCCAACGTCCTGTGTCTACATATACTGTATTTTAATGCAACCAAATTTCCAATAAAGTCGTTCTCACTTACGTATTTTTCTGTTGTCAGACCATGGAATGAAGATGAAATAATGACTGAAACGCAGCCCATTAAGACTACACAAGAACTTTCAAGCTGCTGCTTTGCACCACTAAAATACTATACAATTCTATAACTTCAACATTGTCTGACAAACTTACCCTGCACAAGTTAAAAACAACAGCCGTGCTAACAATTTGTCTATATTTGCTTGTAAAATGATCACCTCTATGTCAGCCGCCGTGCATCAACTCTGCAGCTCTGTCAAACACAAACAACAAAGCAGATGCAGAGTGAGTCTTCTTCCTGAACGGGTTGTGGTCAGCAGCAGCTTAAGTGTATTTAAGGGTACAAACACTGAAACAGCCTATTTAGATCAGTGCTAAAATAAGGGTGAAATGAACATTTTTTGGAATTCAACTGAAAATTAAAAGACACATTTTGGACTTATGTGAGACTTTCATTAATTTGCTATAAAAAGAAGAAGAAGAAGAAAAAAGGACACAATATGGGACCTTTAAAAGCAAATCTTCCTCAGTGAATAATGAATGCAACCACCAGACACGATAACATGACTTTCCTTCTGATATCCCCAGTTTCTCATTTGTGTGTTGTGTTGTGTTGTGTTGTGTTCTGCACCTGCACATCACATCTCAGAGCTGTAAACCTCCACCACACATGCCAGAGATGGCATGAACAGTACAAGTTAATGTGAAGCACCTTGACTTCTTGAGGTCAACTGACTCTTCTCGCAGAAATCCATAGTGAGGACATCAGTGTTTAATCCATCTGAAGTGTTTTTGTTCAGCTCTCAGCTTTTGCTGGAGCGAAGTTTGTGTTTGACAATTGGAACCACAAACGCTTCATGACCACAGCTGAGACAACACTAATAACATTGACGATCCTGTTTGACGGTCCACTCTTACGACCAAGATGATGAGCCACGAAAAATGTTAACGACAAAACACACATACAGTACAGCCTGCAGCGGCATCAACTGACAACCTACCCCTCCGGTACAAACACACACGGGCATTTGGCTAGACAGGCCCACACAAGAGCAGACAGATCCTCTGATTGGACAGTAAGTCCAAATCAGGGAGTACTATGTGCCCCTGACTGGCCATTATCTTATTAAAAATAACAGAGAGTAGAGAATCTCTTTGAAGCAGGGCTGGCCGTTGTTGTTGGAGGTGGATGTGGTGTCCCTGCTCACACTGATATCTCATATGTGGTGCCTCCTACGCCCGTCACCTTTTTGACGTTACTGTGGCGACTGGGGCTGAGGGTGGCACCCTGGGCACTCGGGTGGCAGTCCATCTGCCCATTAACTTTCATGGCCTCTCTGAGTGGAAAGAGAAGAACAGAGAAAATGACTCAACACAAATAGCCAGAGATCCAACACAAACCAAACAATGAGGGTTGTAAAAACATGCAGATTAGTTGCTTTAAACACCACAGTTTTAAATTACAGAAATGTAACCGCAATGCCAGTGATTACAAGAGTGTGTACTTGTTAATGAAGCAAAAGGTTTAGAAATGTTCGTTGAGGAAGTGAAAAGCATGCAAAAGAAAAAGGAATGAGGAGTTACACAATTTTATTCATCTGACATTTGTGAAACGATACAAAAATGATATTTTCCTAGAAAAGCAAACATACAAATCATAACAGGACATATTAGAATTCAGACAAAACAGAAATTATGAATAAACGGATAGATCAGAACAGTTGGACAAGTACCATACATCATATACAAATGCTATATTTTGTCTTAGTTAGCAGTAGTATACTAGAGCTCATGAATTGCTGGCTGTGTCCAGAAAAAGGAGTAGAGTTTCCAGTTGAATGCAAACAGTGCACAACAATCCTCACTGGTTCAGTACAATGCATGCAGTCCCCCAGGGGTAATGTTAGGATTCATACCTTGGGCCCCCCAGACGAGGTGAGTCTGTCCTCTCATGAGCATTGATGTAGGAGAGTTTCTGGTGGGAGTAGGATGGGGATCGGGGCATAGCAGGGGAGTGGGGCTGGTGAGCTGGGGAGCGATAGGGGCCCTCAGGACCTGTGGCCCTGCTCTGGCTGCTGTTGCTGCTACTGTGATCTGTGTGCAAGGAGGTGGATGAAGTCCTTGGGGCACGGCCCAGTGTGGTGCCAGCATGGCGCAACACAGGGGTTCTTTGACCATAGCTCACCAGCCCGACCCCCATCAGGTTGTCCCTGGATCCTCCATAGGCTGGGGGTGTTGGGCCTCTGGAGCCGGGGCCGCGAGGCCCATCTGGGTAGCAAACATTGTGGGGTAAACCATAGCCCCCATCAAAAACGCCAGAGTCCTGGGCATAGATTTGGGTCTGGGAGCGCCCATGCAGCATCTGCCGCTTTTCCCTCTCTTCCATCTCCTTTCGCTCCTGGATGGAGGCCATGATGGTCTGGGAGAGGTTGTCATAGCGCACCGGCGATGGATCCCTGTCCCTAGGGTGAGGGGATTGCCTGCCCACCCCCCTGGGGGGCATCACTGGACTGTAGGTGGGGGCGACCTGTTGTCTCTGTATTTCAGGTTCCCGGATGTGGCACATTTTGGTGGGCAGGTAGGGCGAGTGGAACCCCATGGAGGGCATACCACGGTGGGCCATGCACTCATTGGCAGTGGCTGGGGAGATGCTAGGGTTAAGCAGGCTGTCGTAGGACAGACTACCATTACGGTTGGAGAGAGTGTTTGGAGAGAAGACACTCTTGTAGGGGGTGGAAGTGACTGTCTGGGGTTGCAGGGCTGGGAGCTGACCCTTCTCCGGCCGGCGGTGACCCTGCTTCAGGCTGAGAGAGCGGGAGTTGATGGGGTCGGAGTCAAGCTGGAGAGGAGAGGACTGAAAAGTGCGGTGGAGGGGAGCATTGGCATATTCAGGCAGGTCCAAGTTTGGCTCGGATCGGTAGTCATGACCACGTACACCTTCTTCCAAGATGGCCGAAGTCTTGCGGTCATCTGGCATGACAATCTGATAGGGAAACAGCAGAATGACATCAGGACTGAGTCCTCGTCATAGACAACTACACCTGCAATGCTTTTGCACCAAACTATGAACCCCAGCACGTAGAATGGGTCTACTATTCACAGTATCACAATACTTATACTACTTAAAGAAAATGACTTGTACCTAAATGCAGAAAAAAAACATGTCTTACCTTTTCTCCAGCAGTGTGGTAATGGACTTTCGGCATGGTGCCAAAGGACGGTCTGTATTTATACATGGCTGGAGTGGATGGATGGGTCTTACCAGAGAGAGAACTCTCTACAACACACACATTGAAGAAAAAAAACAGAGTTAACACTGCAGACATAAAAGAAATGACACAATTATAGGAGATCAGATAGCAAGTCCTTTCTGGAAATAAACATATCAGAGCTGGATTCTATTATCACAGCTAAATGACTGTAGAGACTAAGTCCTGAGAACCCACACAATCACGATTTCTACAGAATGAAATGACTTGGAGAGGCAGGGAAGCCAGATGGTAAGAGTCAATTTAGTAATTGATATGCAACACACATGTATCTTACAACAGCCAATCTTTTTTTTTCTTGAGCAAAACAAAAACACAAAAGCATGAAAGGGGCTTTTTAGCAAACAGTTGCTCCAGTGCACAAATGCCCGAATGTGAGAGATATGCAAAGAAATCTGATTTCCACAAATCAGAGGAGTTTTAAAGGGGAGTTAATCCATTTAGACCATCTGCAGTACTGTGAAGCACCACCAGAAAGCAGTAATGCTCCACTGAAGAGCAGAGAGCGTTCACTCCCTGACATAATGCACCATGACACTGGAGATCCTCATGAGGGAACCTGCTGTTCACACTATATATTATTGACACTTCATCCAATTGACGACAGCAGAGTTAAGAACACATTAGCATTAACTAACACTCTTAGGTGTAAAACTGTAAAACCAGCTCACAGTAGATTCTTAATTTACGCAGATTATTTTCAAAGACTCATATTTTTATCAGACTTTTGATAATGGACCATATTTTCTTCCATCTCTCCATTTGACAGAGCTCCATTGCTACATGCCCTCAGAAAAAAAAGGTGGTGATTCATGTTGTAATGATTCACTCTACAATTGTACCACAAATCTGGTGCTGATTCACTGAACAGGGTTTGCCTCCTCACCACAAATCACGCCTATTCTCTGGCCAGGCATAAAAAAGGCCATCGACCTGCCATCAGGATGCACATTTATCAGGCTAAACTAGCGGCAACTCTCAAACTGGGACACTAGTGATCTACAGAGGGAATTGTCGTTTGGTGCAACCCTGACAGGAAAGAGAAATGGGATTGATGATGACTGACAGGAGAGAGAAGGAAGGAGGGAGTCTCTGTGTTTCTGTGGTTTCTTACCTTCGCTGGAGGTCATCTGGCTTTTCAGCTGGTTGTACCTGTCAGCTTTAGGCGGCAGCGGCGGCTGGGTTTCTTTGTCATCCAGACCGTCGAGGCTGCTCTTGGACTAGAGGGAGGAAAGCGGGTCCACAGCAGGTCGAGGAAACAGAGAATAATATTTGTTGGTGTTAAAGATGCACAAATACAACTGTCACAGGGTGCTGTAGGGTGGCAAAGCTGCACTTGGAAGCTGATATATAAGCTTATATGTATTCTTTTTAGTGGCTAATGGAGTGGGAAAAAATGATGTGATGTTAGCAGATTATATATAATAGAGCATTCATTTTATTTGAAAGGAGCATTCCACCAATTCACCTGTGTATGTCTGTAGAACTGTTGGTTTAGTCTGAGATTCAGGCATGTTATGCAAGTGAGAAGCAGGTCACAGAGGTCTGGTAAAACTGTCTTTTTAACAAATGACTCTTAAGGTCTGGTGGCATCATTTAGTTACTTCGTAATTTATTGAAATTTTGTGCAGAACCAATTTTAACAGTCCTCCCAAACATTAATTTTTAGACAAAAGGTTTTAAGACAATCAAATTAAATGTTTTCATTCTATTATACAAGCTAAGACTCATGTAGTGTGTCATGTGGCAGTCAGAGCATGATCAGGACATGGTGTGAGTGTGGGAAAAAGCACAGTATAGCTTTAGAATGGATTAGCGTTGGTTTTTAAGCAACAAGAGCAAGTAGATCAAGACTGGCCAGATTTGGAATTACTGACATTTTGAGACATGTAATTGCAACACAGAAAATATTCACTTGAAATAACTAAATGATACCTGAATCAAAGGATTGTGAAAGAGCTTCTAACTGTGGATTTTTCTTGGGACAGAAGCTGCAATTTATCCTAAAGAAAAGTATTTTTGTCTTGCACAATATGCAAATTAACTGTAACTTTTCTAAAATAATAACCATCTTTCTTTTAAGATGACAGTAATTACGTAACTAATCATACTTTGAGAAGATATAAGTTAAGACTATGATGTTGATTTTGCACAGTAGTTGATTACTGGGGTCACCAGCGACCCCAGAAAAGTGTCCTTATATGATAAATATGTTGGTAGGATGAGCATTAAAGAAAATATTGCACCTTTTTTTTTTTTTACTGAAGCGCCAGTAAATCAGCAGATTTTACAAAAAATTGTCTTGTATTCCAGGCATACATATGACAAAACACGACAACACATGCCACAAATTACATCAGGCATTACAAAGAAGTCACAGCAATACACTTGAGAACCAAATTCTGACTTTATAGTTGACAGACTAAGGAAGGAAAGTTTTCTACAGTGTCGGGTCGACCCAACCACATGGGCAACTCCTGCCTTTTGCTCGTTTTCCCACATCCCCTGCCTTATCTCTACGACAAATAACATTAAAGGCAGTTTCACAGTCTGTTCAATGTAACCGACCAGTCACAGAAAATGTGAGAGCGGTTTGATGTAGAGACAACATCCTTTTTGTGTACACAGTTTGAAAACTTGACGCAAACATCTGAACCACAGTCTGTCAGCTGATAGGCTGCAGTCAGGCTGAACAGAGAGACAACTGTACCACTGATTCCATGCTGGTTAATCTGTAAGTTGACCTCACTCTCCTAAAGTATGAAAGTAAAGACATTGTTGGACCTTTTCACAACCATGTGTGCACTCCAAATGCATCCGTGTATCATAGATGCCTACAGGAGGAACTTGCTCAGTCTGTGTTCTTGTCCTTTTTTGATTAACATTAAAGTGATTCTTTTCCACAGAATAATGGTAAATACTAGGATCATCTTCAGTGCTTAGAGTGTACTATCATCGAGAATATCAGTTGTACAATCACCTGTATTAAGTGTGAAGAGCGGAGCACAAACACTTCTGGTGCTGCTGAGCTTGTTAGTCACAACAAAAGCTGAATGTGTCTGACTAACTTTAATTAAGCACTCTATTTCTGAGAAATTAATGGTACCACTAAATCAGGTGCATCCATTACAGGTCTAGTTGAATCACTTTTGCCATTAAGAGCTCAACAGTGTTGAGAACAGATGTATAATCTCAGAAGGGGGCCGTACCTGTGGTTTTGTCTAAATGCTTTAGTATTGGGTCTTTCAATGCATCTTTGGTGCTACGATTTTGCTTCGATACATAATTAGTCAAGTGTTCAGTTTGCCGCTCCAAACTGAGCTGCTGACCTGCAGTTCCTTCAATACAATAGAGGTTAAGGCTTCAGGACAACATATAAAGCATGTTCGAAAACATTGGAAAACATGTTGGCACACGGGTGGCCAATAGAGTACCAATAGTTGATGAAAAGGTAACACCATTAATCTACAACACATAAACTCTGTCACGTTAAGGATCTGACAACTACAAAACCACTAGTATCACGCCTAAGTTATTTCTGTTTTTAAATATTATTCTTTGAAGACATTGTTTGCCCTTAAATTCACCCCTACAGACATAATATATCTCATCAGGGTAAAGAGTTTAAGTCTGTCATTTACCCTATTCGAGTCATAATAATAATAATAATAATTCATTTTATTTGTATAGCGCTTTTCAAGAACTTAAAGCCACTTCACAGGATAAAAGCAAAGCAATAAAAGCATTAAACAACAAGCAACAAATACAAAGGTAGACAATATAGAGGAGTCATCCATCCATCCATCCATTATCTATGCACCGCTTAATCTTCACTAGGGTCACGGGGGGCTGGAGCCTATCCCAGCTGACTTAGGGTGAAGGCAGGGGACACCCTGGACAGGTCACCAGTCTATCACAGGGCCACACTTAGAAGACAGACAACCAAGCACACTCACATTCACACCTACAGACAATTTAGAATCACCAATTAACCTCAGCATATTTTTGGATTGTGTGGGAGCCCCCATTCGAATCATAGGTGTCTAAAATTCTTTTATCGAGATAGAAAGCAGCCAAAAAGCCCACTTGGTGCANAAAACAAAGACGGGTGGTGAAATCCCCCCAGTTTGACCAAATTTCCTTAAACTTAGACTGAAGTAGTTTTGGGTGGACCCCTTTAAACTGGCAAAGTTTCATTGAAATCGGTGAGATGGCATGTGCCACCCCCGCCTGGTCCTATCGTGGATGCACTCTTAAAGACACTTCACAGGATAAAAGCAAAGCAATAAAAGCATTAAACAACAAGCAACAAATACAAAGGTAGACAATATAGAGGAGTCATCCATCCATCCATTATCTATACACCGCTTAATCCTCACTAGGTTCACGGGGGGCTGGAGTCTATCTCAGCTGACTTAGGGGGAAGGCAGGGGACACCCTGGACAGGTCACCAGTCTATCACAGGGCTACATTTAGAGACAGACAACCAAGCACACTCACATTGACACCTACAGACAATTTAGAATCACCAATTAACCTCAACATATTTTTGGACTGTGTGGGAGCCCCCATTCGAATCATAGGTGTCTAAAATTCTTTTATCGAGATAGAAAGCAGCCAAAAAGCCCACTTGGTGCACACCATGTTGGCAAGCAAAGCACAAGAAAACAGTGAACCAGATAAAAGACTAGTTATAGGTCAGCTGGGTGATAGAATAACAAGAAGAAGCTCCGTAGTGATTGCGAGCCACTCACCTTGGAGCTGATAATGGTGCCATGGATACCGTTGTCGCTGACCTTGATGGTGATTTGCCTGTCTGAGAGGTCCGGTCTGATGAATGGGGGCTGAATCTTGACGTGGGGCTTTTTCCTGGGGTCCAGCATGTACCTGCGTGGAAACGTACAACACATGAACAAATAGGTTCTTGGCTGTTATGTAACACTACTTTTACTTGACACATACTGTTAGGACTTCATACTCCACCATAAACCCATTGGTCTTAGAATATTTCATTTGGCTCGTTTCATAGTTCAACTTCTTAGTCGGCATTTACGCCACTCCTATGACTGTCAATGATTTGTTTCATGTTTAATGAAAACTTGAGGAGTGAAGTGTATGATATATTTTCAGAGCAGCATTTAGATATTTGAATTTTGTATCTCCTACATTAAAAAAACAAAAAACAAAACATGTTACTAAATGAACAACTCTGACTTGTGGTCAGTTCACTCACTGTCAGTCAGGTTTGAGATGATCTGAGTCAGTGGTTCAGTAAATGAAAAACCTTCATTTAGGGACTGTGCAGCCATTTAACAGCAGATGCTAGTAAGCACAGCATCTCACCCCAACCTGTTGTTGTCTCTCTGCAGTCACACTGTTGATTTTTATGGAATGGGACTTGTCCCAATTGGACGTAAAGCCGGCGTTGTGGGTTTTAGTGATGCTCTGTGTGTGTAACAGAGTAAAACGCATGTTGACTAACTCTGCACCATTTCCCCATTAACTGTTGTTCTACAGAGTGAGTCTATTCTCTTAGCCATCTGCCTTCCCTCAGGGTTGCAGGCTGCTTTCAGGCAGAACTGGATACACACCTCTGCAACCACTTCGGAGCACGTGCATATAGTCATGGCACAGTCTGGTTATCACTGCAGTTGTAAGATGTTGTTAGTGCTATGGCATCAATGTCATGGGTTTTGATGGGCCTTAATCCACATACATATGTATTTACACACACACAGACAGGCAGAAGATAAAAAAAAATACAGAAAGACAAACAGTTCCTACTGTGGCGCCTATACGCACATCTGCAGCATCGTAAAGCATCTTACCTGGGTGCCAGGGGACTACATAAGACATACTCCACGTTGCCACAGCAACCCTTGGTGAAAGGATTTACTCCTCCACGAAACTTGCCCGTCACCTGAGGAACACAACCTTGTTTAGTGGCAGCATTAAAGGAAGAACAAGGCCACAGCAAACATACGGAATGTAAACACACATTTATGGACACAAAGGAACGATAATGATTCATGAAACTTCACATTCACAAATGGTGTTCATTAGTGTTTGTGTTATTCCTTTTACTTTACTATCTTCATTATGGTAAATTCATCTCCGTGCACAGAGGCCGTATTCTTCTTTTTTTTGTAGCTGGAGTGTCAGTAAAGCGCTTTGGTGTCCAGACAAGATTGTTAAAGCGGTCTAGTTGCCAGCAGCCAGGCAGCTCCAGGTGTGAATGTTTAAAACAGTGTCAGTTTGAAGTACAGCAATGCCGCTCTGTTCACTTGCACTGGATAAATAATTGATTGGTGAATAAATGTTTGACTGTGTGTGCCTTTCAGTACAAAGCACTCCAGGCTGACGTCTCCTCACCTGTTCGTTGGTTGTTCGACCTCGAGCCACAAGCACCATGTGAAAACCTGTTAGTCCCATGACTGGTATAAAGAAAAGCCCTGCTATGCACATCACCACCAGACTGAACGGAGAGGTCAAGGGCAACCACAACATGAAGACATTCGCTGCAGAGTTGTCATAAATGTTTAAGAAGAACTATGATTTCACAAGTGATATACTAAAAGCAATGATGCTGTATGCACAACATAATAAGCTACAATTACTGCCTTGAGGTTGTAGGCCTCCACCAACTACTGGCGCTGCAGTTTACATCGATGTCTCTCCAGACTAATGTAACACAGTATACAACAAAAGTAAGCACACTTCTGTGCAATATCACTTAAATGTCAAATTATTCATAAGTGTATCACCTTACCATAATTGCATTACTTCACTGTAAGGATTATGCATTCACTCTGGAACTTCTGGCCAGGATTTTGCCAAACATAACAGATCCCATCCAAGCTGAACAAATCTATCTTGGCCTCATCTGACCAAAGAATGTGCCTCCAGTATTCATCAGGCTACTTTTTGTGTTCTTTCTTGCAATTTTGGTCCAAAGAGCAAGCAATGGTGTTTTCCTTGGAAGCGGTCCACAGAGGTTGACATTATAATGAATTGCTCTGTAGCCCCCGATTACCGCTGCAACAGTGTTTCCACTGTGTTTTAGTTGGTCGCTGATCTTCTTATATCCTTTTTCATCTTTGTAAAGTCTTACTGTCAGATTTTTCATTTCCTCTGTCAATTCTTTCCCATGTGTTTGCCATGATACAAACATGCAGATAAGCACAACCCAAAGGTCAAAAGTTGAGAGAGTTCTGCTGTTCACAGATAATTTTACAGCCATGCTCAGGCTAACTGGAAATCAAAGGTTCATCCAATTCAGTGTCGATGATCACAGGATTTCAAACTTGTGTCAAATATCATGGCTATATTGACTTTTGCACCACTGAGTTCCTTCTTTGAGGCCTGCATTTTCAGTTGTTTGACATTGAAGTGATATTGCACAGGTGTAATCACTTCTGCTGTATACTATATATTATACTATATATGTCATACTGTTTGTTGTTTGTTTGTTTTCAATGTTTACTGTAATCTGACTGTTATAAAGGGGCAGATTAGATTCTTCTTTCTGCTCTCTTTTCATTCAGAAGTTAGGAACTTTGATTTGTATTGTATTCCATTTTTTTGTTTGTCTGTTTTGTTTGTGTTTGTTTGTGTGTGTGTGTGTTTTGTCAATGAATGAAATAAACTACTACTAACATATATGTAGTGAAGACTTGAAATAAAGGATTTTAATAGGTGGGCTCCTAAGATTAGTGTCACCAATTCAACATCTGACCAATTATGAAATACAGTCACAATCTCTCTTTGTTCCCAACTCATTCCATTGAAAAATGGCTAGAAAAGTATTTTTGCCGAACACTGTGCTCATCACTTCATCATATTATTCTATTAGACATTTATGTGATTTGTCATCATTAGCATATAAATACATCATTCATGGCTAAAATGTGTTTAGTGAGGTCACGGTGACTTTTGACCACTAAAATCTAATCAGTTCATCCTTGAGTCCAAAAATGACAAAAGTGAAAGGATACGTGACGGTAGTGTGCAGCGCTCCCAGCTTCTCTCTGTGGTGGAGGACAAAGATGAGGCCGAAGGAGAAAACTCCCACCATGTGAACGCTGAGTGACAGCAGGAAGAGGAAGAAGTAGCGGTAGTTCCTCCGTCCAATGCAGTTGTTCACCCAGGGACAGTGATGGTCGAAGTCCTGCGAGGGAGGAAGGGAGTCATTGGGAAATATATGCAACTTAAGGGCAAAATGGGGCAACAGGCTAGCCTGCATATGGGCGTTAAACTGGAAAATAAATTTAAGTTGGCAAAGTCTTGCACTACCATCTCTATAAATGTCTAAAGCTGCCTGTCGACTCAAGATAAGGTGAGATTCTCTAGTAGCCCTACATTCATACTATGTTATAATCAACATCCTCAAATTTCTAGCGCTATTTTAAACGTTCAGCCTTTTCCAATTGAAATCTGGAATGAAACAGGGTCTCAACCTGTATAAATCTTCCTCCTGTGTGTGATGTGTGTTGCTGTCCTACTGTGTGCGACGTATTTGTTTGCAGCCGCGTTACTTGGTGTAAAACCAGAGGAGGTTTTCCAAGCTAATGCCGATAACAGTATCTTACAGTTAAAGCTGCCAAGAGCTTATGTTTCTGCCAGTAATTATGATCTTTAATGACAACAATATTCTTGCCAAAAACACAGATAATAAGGAATTATTAATACGAATATATTCATATATTTAGTGTTTGTATCAGATTTGAATTCTTTGCGGAATGGAAAACATCTAAATATATGCTATGTACAATCAACCAGCTGATATCAAACATTCTAACTGATGCTAACTTGACAACATCAGGTTGTTGGTAAAAGCGAACACTGACTATTTCAGTCTGACCTTGATGCATGCATAAGTGGATTTTATGTATACTTGAGCCACACAGTGTCTCTGTTTGCACTTGTGCTTCTGCATCGACACACACCTCCACACAGTTGTCACAGACGCTGCAGTGCGAGCAGCGAGGCGGCCTGTAGAAGTGACAGGTGGCACACCACTTCATCCGGACCTGAATGCCCTTGATCTCCACGTTCTTGTAGAGCGGCGCACGGAAATCATCGTCCTTGTCCTCGTCCTCGTCCGCTGCGGGACGCACAGAGACGAAAACATTAACAGAGCACACGGTGGAGTGGGAAGGAAAAGACATTTAGTACTTGCGCGGGCACAAACACAGAAAGGAGCACGGTTTTGATTTGTAATTGTATTTGACAGGGACAACAGGGGGGCACCTTAAATGAATCCCCCCCCTGCTGTTTGCTGTCTGCAGAGAGAGTCAAAACACTGGCAAATGAACATATCCTTTCAGATGTGACCTATTCGATCTGCTTTGAACATCAGACTGATTAACAAGAACAGTTTGACACGTGTAACAGAAACTGCTTGATATTATTTCCCACAACACGGGCAGAATTTGCGTATTCACAGGAATTAAAAATAACACCCTGGAAAAGTTAATCAGAGTTAGTGGTCTGCTTTATTGGACCTGAAAAGGTAACTCAATCTACAACCTCCGACCTGCAATATTAGAGTACAAGTGACATTTCCACTGTCCTTGGTGTCACTCTGCTTTCAAACCGTTTATGGGAGGCTTTGTACTTTTCCAGCGACGGAAAGCTTTTTGCTTTGGAGCTGCAGTGGAAAATAAAATGTCTTTTAGCTGATCAAAGAGCACGTTCAAACCGATTCAAGCTCCAACTCAAGAAAACAATTTCACACACAGTGCAGTAATAACTGCGGGGAGATCCAGGTAATGGAACACACAAACACACAAACACACGGACGCATGGACACACACACACACACACACACACACACACACACACACACACAGAAAGAAAGCAAAATTGAGTGAAAAGAGAAAACAAGAGAGAAACAAAGGAATAAACAGTTCCATAGCGGGAGATTGCTCTGTTATTATGGCTCTCAAGTCGATTCAAATACATTTTAAAGGTAAGCTGCCTGCCAAACCAGCAGACACAAATAGCAGTTAGGCTTGCATCTCCTCTGACAGCATCTTGTCTACAAATGTTCGATGCAAGGGGTGTTCAGCAAACAAAGCTGCGGCATATTTCATAAAATATACATTTACTCAGCAAAAACAACACACTTCATTTACATTCAATTTTTGCATTAAATACAATAAACAAATGAAGTATGACTGGAAATATTTTCTCCTCCATTCACAAAAATTGCTGTACTAACTTCTTATTTATTCATTTATCCATTCATTTTTACCACTGAAGACTGAGGCACCTACGTACTACCACATCTACCACATCTACACTAAAAGCACGTACAGCCTGAATCTCTATTAAATACATTTCAGATTTAATCCTGATATCGTCATTCACGATAAACTGCTGTGATCTTCTAATAGAATTCATTACCTCTTGCTCTGATTGAATGATTGCTCATATGAAGGTCAGGTGGAGCGTTATTGACATTACAGGGTTGTAATTTTCAATTTTCTTTGAAATTATGAGTCACTTTATTTTTCCACCACGGCATCAGAACGCGTGTCTGCATGCACAAATGTTTGCCATCAATCACAGATGTGTCATCCTTCATGGACGGGTAAACGGTGCATATTTACAGTACATGGAGGGTAGCAAATTGCACTGGGTGAGGATGCAAAATTTCATTATTTTGTTCAATGACACTCGGGCGGGGTGAACGGCTGTTAGTGAGGAACAAACAGTTGACCTTTGAGTGATAAAATGAGCACTTGAAACACTTAACCACACAGTCTTCACATCCACATTGGTAATATTTACTGTATCCGTTGCTTAGAAGCTATTGTTGGGAGCAGTATGACTATAACTGTCACACAATACAGTATCTTGTTTTTTATTCAATTTACTGTCGTTTGTCCTTGACTAAATAACATAATAGACATATATGTCACAGCAAGGCGATGTAACTTGTGAAGGAGGACATCATATGTTGTACAGTTAAAAAGTCAAACCCATGCAACCTTGCTAAACAAATAAAGCCAGGAATCTTTCTTCTGCAGTCTTACATGATGTGATATGATCATAGAATATATATAAAAGACTGACACAGTAACTGTGATGTCAATCAGCGCCATGTGGACTACTGCTTTGAGGACTAGAGTTCATTATTTGGCTGTAACAAGCAAGCTGCAGATCTGACAGAGGGAAGATGTCCATAAGGTCACAAGAAAGCCATACCTTAAAGCAGTGTTTCCCAACCTTTTTTGAGCCAAGGTACATATTTTTAAAAAATCACACGGCACACCATGTCACAAAAAGAATATACAATGAGAATCTAGTATCAATTTACTTACTCAGTGAAAAACCTGGGCCTGTTTAGTCGAACACAAAGCTGATATTCTTGCAGGGATTGAAGAAAGACAAACACAAAGATCTTCCTCAACAGCTCTCTCTTTTCTTGATCTTTATAGTAGTCATGCTTGAAAAGCCCAGCTCGCATAGATAGGTTGTGGAGAAAGGAAGAAGAGCTAAAATGGCTTTTTTTTCCCAAAATTGGGAACTCCTTGGCAGCAGTCAGCCCAAACTGTCCAAAGGTAGATCAGCAAAGCTCAGCTTCAGACCACAATTTTGTGCTCCTGCAAAGTCATGTCCCTTCCAACTGCAGTTGAGCGATATGGGTTCCTAATCCAGTCAAGCCAATTAGTAGAAAGTGAAGGGAAATACACGACAACTTCTGCTCAAGACATTCCAGATGTTTTCATATTGTCTCACACAGTGCAGCACTGTTGACACTCTGCCATTCCTGGGTGTGTGGGAACATTTCAAGGTTGGCACTTTCCACATGTTGTTTCCAGAGCATCACCTTTGAATGAAATCCCTGTATTTTATCAGTACTTGTGAGCAGGTTTTCATTTTGGCCTTGCATTCGTGTGTTCAGATCATTCAGATGTTGGAATATATCAGCCAAATATGCTAGTCTTGCACACCACTCATCATCTGAGAGCAACTTAGCGTCATCGTCCATCTCATTTGCCAAAAACACTTTAAGTTCCTCCCACAGCTCATACACCAGCTGGCACAGCGGTTGGGAATCACTGTCTTAAAGCACACCCTGATTTAGCTCTAGTTTGCTCTAAATGGAACCATAATTTACTTAATAGACATCTTACTGTATTGAAGGAGACTTGAACGCTTTAAGAAATGCTTACTTACGTAAAATAATCAAGTGAGAAGTGGAGTCATTTTCTCATATACTTTTATACAATCTGACCTATTTTTGCCTTCAGATGAGTCACCCTCTGCTGGTTGTTAGAAAGAATGCAGGTTTAAGACACTTTCACGTTTGAGACTGGAGACCACATCCACCAGTAGCGAACATTCTCTACTGTTAGCAAACTATCTACAAACACTGCTCCATAAAGGACATCACTAAGACTATTTTTGACTGTATTTTTCCTGTTTACATGGCTTATAACTATTCTGTGTTGTGGAATTTGTATTTTGTAGAACAGAGCCATGATATCCAGCAAAATGTTGCATATGCTAACCTAAAAGCAGAACAAGCTGTTAGCATAAAGTCATATCATCTTTATAAATTTGCAAACAGTAACCTACTTAGCAACATTCACATTCGTTAAAATCCTGTTTCTGGCTGTTGAAACAGATGTCTTGGTCTATACAAATTCATCTGAAAATTAATTAGCTCTTTACCTTCTAAATATTTTATGATATTGGCTAGCTAATTGCTAACTTTGCTCATTGTTTGGTGTTGGACAGTTAGCACTCAGTGGGTTTATTGTAGCGTGTTTGCTCACAGCATGAATTCTCTGTGGCTGCATCACTACAAAAAACTCCCTTATAGTCACTGACACTTTGTGGCTATAAATTTTTTTTTTTTTTACCGCTTTTTTTATTACTTTTTTTGTAGTTAGTATAATATAATTGATGAATAAAAACAACAACAAACATGAAATAAAACTCCTGGCATCACCAAACTGGTTTTAGTACACACGTTATTTGACTGACCACCCCAAAAAACAGTCACGCTGCAGTTTAATTTTCATATGAACAGAAAAACACATTCACTGGTAGCATGGCTCTATTGTGAGAGGCCTGGGATCCAACATGATGCCAAAACACCTTTTAACCACCAGGGAACTGTTTTTCATGGATGAAAAAAATGTGACTGAATTCTTCAAATTGCAATGCATTTTGAAAAACTGCACAAAATTGTTAAACTTTCTGATATTTTGGTTTATAACAACGTCGTCTCATTAAATTCTTTACCTACACTAAAGTTTTTGGCTCACTTTTGCAGTCTGGATGACTGAGTATGTACTGGCTGCACCACCTTTTAAAATCTGCCCTGCTGGGTCTGCTCCCTCAGAATTATGACATCAAGAGCTTAGAACACACCTCATCCCTCAGTAGTCTATAAAAGCCAGCAGGGCAGCAGCAGCAGAAGGCCACAGTCACCTCTGGGCAGGCAGGTAACCCGCACTTTATACAACCTAACGATTATTACCCCTTTATGAGCAGAAAAAGCTCTTCCTAACGACAAGTGCTTATCATTTACAAGCGCATTACAAACATCCCCGGGGGAAGGCTTCAATCATCATTACTTTAGCCCTTGTCCTCAGCAGAGATAAAGCTGAGGACGGGGAGTCTCACAAGTCCGTGCAGCTTGTTGAGAGATGCTCTCCCAATATAAAGGTTTGTATAACTTTCACCAGCATCCTGCATGTGGAGCTTGTGCACTTTGACAGGCTGGATGAGGCAGATAATAAGGTAGTGAAACACTGTGCAGGGCGGTGGTGTGATAAATGTGTTGCTGTTAAAAGGTGCGCCGACTACACGGGAACTCAACAGAGCAGAAGCATTACTCATATTTATATGCACATACATTATGACAGATACTAGTATTTTTACACAGCACATAAATGTTGCAAGTAAAACCAGTTGTTCCCAGAATTTTGTATTGCTATGAACAGATGTAAGACAATCACAAGCATCCATCTTCATCTAAAATTCATGTGCATGCTCACAGACGTGCAAACAAACCTCTGGGGTAAACACCAGGGTCCATGAAGGTTGCCATGCTGAAGTTGGCCAAGACGAAGAGGAAGACCAGGCCATTGTAGAGAGGCACAGCGGGAGAGATTACCTTCGTCAACCAGGGGCACCTAGAGACACAAACGAAGAAACAGAAATTAAGATTCTTTCTGTCTGTAAAGTGGCAAACAGGAAATAAGCCATCATAGGTGTGTTTGTGGTGCTCCAGCTGAGAGAGAACAACCATGTAATTCTCTAACAACAAAATATTCAAATGCAGTCTTTTAAATAAGCCCTTATATTCTGTTCTTTAAAAAAAAAAAAAGCAAAACATGGCTACAAAGAAATTACAGTGGGGTAAATGATGCTAGAAAATAAAATAACAATAAAGCAGCCAGCTTGAATCAATGTTCCTAACAGCGCTTTAATTCTCTGCAAATGACCAGGACATAATGTGAGTTGCTATTACAGCCATTAACTGAGGGATTGATCCTTGGCCCGAGAGGAGTTTTTACTTGAAATTACCTGTTAAAAAAAGCATTTAATGGAAATAAAACTTGCTTTGCCATGAAACTGTCGTGCGAGTCATTTGCTGTCTCTTCTTCCATGGTGTTTATTGCATTAATACGTTCTGTATGTGTGTGTGTGTGTGTATCCTCTAATTACAGCCCATCCAGTCATGTGAGTTAAACTGAAGTGACTCAGCGGTAGAAATGGTGAAGACTGTAAAGCGATTTTCCGCATCACCCAGTTTTTGGCCAAAACCAACATTATGGCACAAACTATTACAGGCGACATTGTTAAAGAATGAACTGCCTGAAATCCTCTATGAAGAAACTCATTTATATAAAGACGAGTGGAATCCGCTGTAGCTCAAGTGGGAAGTGAGAGAACTGTTGAGACTCTGGCCTCAGTAATGACAGTCACTGATAGATGTTCAATCAACAGAATTGAATTTGTGGCACAAATGATGTCACACTTGTCCATTATGAACTTTCCCCCTTGTGATATTTGAATAGGGATGTGCCAGACAATCAATACTACTTTGTCTCCAACTGAGCGTCAGCTGGAAATGGTAAGATAATGAAGGGGCAATCATTGTTATCCTTTCTACCTGGTAAATCTAACCCAGTCTGAGTGGTACAGTTCAAATCAACATGCAGCCTCTGTCAACTCACAGGGCTGAGCAATTAATCAATTTCAAATCACAATTTGAAACAATGCAACTAGCAAACAGCAGGATATACGACGTTGCTGTTAAATAATGAGACTAAAGCAGTCCATTTTATTTCATTTGATCAGATTTAAATTTTGTGTTTGCAAATTGATCAATCTTCATGGTTCAGGCATGCGCAGTGTGGTTCATCTGACACAGGGTTTCAATGTTCATTCAGGATGTCAGGTCTTGGATGATTGCTCCTCTGTAAATAGCACTAAAATCCTTTTAAATGGTATAACATTTTGAGAGTACAAAATAAATATCTATTTTTTTTTAACAAGGATATATATGAGGAGTTTGTTTGCAAAAACAGATAACTCCATCTTCACAAACCTTCAGAAAACCTGCTTTTCCATCATCTACCTGAGACAATATTAATCAAACTTAAGTTATCTCTTTTGTCTCTATCTCAGTCATTTCTACTGAGTCAGATCCACTCAACTTCAGTGTGATTGATATTATCTCAAGCAAACAACAAAAAAATTCGTTTTCTGAAAATCTACAAAAATGGAGTTATTTGTTTTTGCAAATGAACTCTTCACATATACACATACATTTATACCATTTTTAAAAAACTGTTGTATGGAATGTTGCTCAATAATTTGATCAAAAAATAACAAATAGACCTGCTTTATTTTTATGCTACATTGGGAAACTCTTGTGTAACAGGCAAGAGATTAAAAAACATATTCATCATATCTTAACGTATTTTTAAAAATGCTTTCCAAAATAAACTAGCCAAATATAAAAAATTCTAGACAACAAGTACCATAAAAATAAATCCAAGTACATTGAGGAAATGTCTATTGATCAAAAAGTCACTAGAATTACTCCTCAGAGTACAATGAACCTGTGTGCAAAATCCATTTCACTGTTTACGGCTCACTATATCAGTGTTGAACCAGCTGACTGACATTTCCATCTGAAAAGCCAGGCCGCCAGTGTGGTTGAAAATGACCTTACCTAACCTGGATGAGCTTTAAATTTCACTTCTGGGAAACTCCTCTTGCATTAAAAGCCTCCCTCTGATCTGCAGCTCATCTGCCATTACATACATCTGATTTCACTCTCTGCTCTGCGGGGAAACGAGTCCGACCGCTTCAGTGGAAACCTGTCAGGTCAGTCACTGAGGTTATCAAAGGGGGAACCTCCTTTAAATTCCACCAACATTTTGCGTCAACACTGACCTTCTCCACTGCCTGCGAGTCATAACTCAGTCGGAGCTGTGAAATACTCAACTGCGGAGACACCTGAATCACAACCACGGCCCCTGCTCAATCACCTGGACTCAAATGTCAAGACATCCTGATTTCATCCCAGCCGACTGTTTGTGCGGGCTCTCCAGGTTTGAAACGCCATCAGAATGAAGGCGTGTTAACGCCCACAGTCAGACATACTGCAGAGATCCTGCAGGTCAGAGACGCAGAGAGAATTTATAAATTAATGAAATATCTCACAGGAGAGGGAGCAGTGTGCTTTAGAGATGGACCCCCACTTTCATTTGTGTTTCTCTCACAACTATTTGGACACATACCAGATTCTCAAACCCCTAAGTATTTCTCTTCGGCTTATTCTGACGTCAAAAAGTCAGTTTCCTGGTATTCGTGGCCTGAGATCATCTTCAATCCATATCTCCTCTCCTGCTCCACCAGCCCTCTTTTGCTTTGTTGAATTATTCAGAGCCGTGGCTGTAGGAGAGGCTAACGGAGAATAGAGATCCGTTAACTGGGATGACAGAGCCAGTCAGCACCAGTCTTTGTTAGAGCTACTGTAGGCCTGATGCATCTTTACTTTTACATACCACCGGCAGAGATCATGGCTGACTTTGACGTAAAAATGTAGCACACATTGTAATATTTGTCACTGTGATGTGCTACAAGGATATTACAAATTTATTAGCAGTAGAGCTACAGTTTCTTATAATAAGACAATGTAGTAGGGCTCCTCCACAGAGATCTACATGCAGCCTATAAGGACAGTAGTGCCCCAGCTTGTGAGTAGTTTGCACGCACAGACTATGTCGACACAACCAACTGCACATGTGTACAACATGGAACTTCGACTGCAATCTACAACAGTAGTACAATAATTAAAACTGCGTCCATAATGTGTCCAGAAGGGAATCTAATTAAGGCTTTGTGGCTATTGTCCTCAAACTCTGGACTGACGTTAGATTTGTTAAATCTGTTACTGCTTTTAAATCTATTCTTAAAACATTAAAAAAAACAAAAACTTTCATTTCTAATTCATCTCTTTCCTTTTTCATTGTTTTATTATTATAACCTTGCTGATTTTTGGGGGGGAAGCTTTTTATGAATTTGTTAACAATAAGCACATGAATAAGCAAGGCTTGTTGTGATTATCATGACAGAAAAATAAGACAGACAATTTTACTACCATTTTCTTTCAGCATTCAATGTATCAGTCCATCTCTTAACATTTATCAACCTCCCGACTCTGTCTGCGGTACTCAGCTCCAAATAAAGACCTTAATCTTTATAATGGGAAGCCAAAATATGTTCAGAATCATTTGAAAATGGATTAAATGATTTCCTAAAATCCTAAAAGGTCACTGTGGATTTTATCAAACATTATACAAATAGGAGAAAGTTCTGCATTTGTTATGGACTATTTCTGTGCAGATTAATACACAATTGATGATCTGGTGAGCATTCACAGTATAAAGGAGCACATGGCACTGTCTCAAAATAAAGAATCCTTCCCAGGTTTCCGAGGATTTTGGGATTCATTTGTCTTATACACGAGCAATATGTCTGCAAATACAATGTGGCATGTTCCACGGTTGTTCTAGAAGACTGGTGCGATAATTAAGAATTAAAAAGAAAAGAAGAAATGTAAAAGATTACCAAGAACAACAACAAAAATAGCTTTCAATGGAGCACCACAGCACTGAGAAATAAGATGTAGAAGGTTTTGGATACTCAGGCAGTCCTTGTTAGTAGGCTCAGTTCATTGTTGGCTTGTATTTTCTCGGCATGTAGAAAGTTTTACCAGTTTGGAACACATTTTAGCTCAATAAAAATTGCCATAAAGTGTGCCTCTAGGATAATATTATGCTTCCCAGTCAGATCAGTAAAACATATCGGCTAAAAATAAAGAAGCATGTCTGTCTCACTGACTAAAATGTTTGTAAATTTAGTTTTGGTGCCGCTTACTCTGAAAACGGTTCATTTCATGGCACGTACCTACTTTTACAAGAAAACAACATCAAAGAACATTTCAGCAGAATTGCTCTTTACTCAGCAGACTGTAGTGAGTACTATCGTGCTGTGTCATCGCTGCTTTGGCAACAAGTAGACAAATGCTTTAAAAAAAAACTGATCAAAGAAAAGCAATAGCACGCAGCGCCACCATCTTACAAAATCCCAATTTCCTCGCCTGTCAAAGGATCATGTATTTTTTGCCAACAGTGTGATACCGCCGAGCGCAGCTGACAGCACCCATTTTAGGAGTCTGGGAGCTGACGACGTGGGAGGAAAATGTGACTGAGAGAAAGTCTAATTAAGGACACAGACACTGGTTAATTGTGTGGGAGTAACAAATAACCACAGAGCGCTTATCAACACTGTTTACAAGCTACTTTTACTGCTTGTGGAACCATGATACCTCAACCGGGGCAGAAAAGCCTTCAGCTTGTCAAAAAGTTTGGACGAAGTTTATGAAGCTGAAGGGGCTGCCAAAAGTGCAGTAATGTAATGAGCTTGGTTGTGTCCTAACATAAAGTCCCGAGGCTGGCCAAAATGGAAGAGAGTCCTGGATTCTTTGCGATAATTAAAATGCCTGTAGAAAGGAGCTGGAGAGAAAACCAAGCGGGCACCCACCAGCCAGAAACAGTCAGCATTTAAAACGCTAGCTTGCAGAGCCCTGAATACTTCAAAGAGGCGCAAGGAC